TTTGATTGAAAGTAAGAGTTTATATTGACTAATTCATGATATTTAAGACATGTATGTATGCTTTATTTTTGTCTATGTTAAACAATAAATGCACTCTTTGTTGTATTACACAGGATATACCAGTTGTCTTTCAGAAAAAATACACAACCCGTGTTAGAGGCATTGCAACTGTTATACGTCGTATATAACACAAGAAAGAGACACATACTGATGTTAGTTATGCAATTTTAAATTAATCATGTAAAGTGGAAAACCATGCTCAAGTGTAAAGTGTTCCGTATTAATATTTAAAAAAAAAAAAATTTTCAACAATATGAACTAGATATTAATGATCTGGAAATAGGCAGTATAACAACATTTTTCTTTCATTATAAATGTTTACTCTCTGTCTGTTTAAAAATGATTTTATGTATTCCTAATTTATTTCTGACAATTTTCACTAGTATCACAGATAAAAAAAAATGTTTAAAAACTAAGAAAATTTATCAATAATAGATAAGACGTCATTGTTATCTCTAAATGAATTTTAATTTGTATCACAAGAGAACGTTGAATTTTGGCTATCAAGGTATTTGGTTAATGTTTTAAATCGGTAATGACGGTTGCCTCTCCATTGCTAATTTATCTTTTTTGTGGATTTCATATCCTAGTTCTTTTGTCGCAGAAACATATTACAATATTTTGTTTGTCATTTTCAGTCTTCTTTTTATATAGCTGAACAAAAGTTTTACTCTCAAAGCATCAGTCGAAACAAAATAACAGACATTTAAAATTTTAAAAACAAGTTTATTAAAATACTTATTTACAGTATATACAGAAACCCTCAATTTTATCACACATGATGAATTGTCAAAAATGATTAACACATGATAAATATGAAATGTCAACGTCCGCTCGTTTTCTTGATGAAATTTGCTAACAGCAGATAAATCATCTGACATATTGAACTAGAACAATTAAAAATAAACATTCAAAAAAATGGAACATCGCATCTGCTTCTGATGAACTATTTGAGGAATCTGAAATAAACAAGTATTTATTAATTAAAGCCAAGCGGATAAACCATAACTGCAAATTTATATAAATTTTCTTTTATAAAATGAAAAATTAAATTACGAACAGTTAGTGATTTACAAAAAATCAATTAACAAAGCAAATCTATAGAGAGGGCGTAAAACATGGACCCCTGAATATTCCAGAGGTGGGATCAGGTGCCTAGGAGGAGTAAACATCCCCTGTTGACGGGTCACAAATATACCGCATTTAGCCCTATGTATAATTCATAGAACGGACATTCTGTCGTGAAATTCAGCATAAAAACAAGGGCTTAATAAAAATAAAGAAATCTCATTTCTCAAGCTATGTAACTGACAAGTTCATTAAAGCGACAATAAAAATTAACGAAATGCCATCACATGACAATGGTAAAAAATGTACAGTATATTTAAATTTGAACACCAACCGTGTACTATTCCATATGGTTTTGAATTTGGGGATTTAACAAGGATCTGTTCTCCAGGAGAAGGCGCTGACTTCTGATGACTGGTGGAACTCGAGCTAAAGTCGAATATTATCGTCTTTGAATCACTTTTGTCATCTTTGGCTGCCTTTGGTGAAACTTGAATACCATTTATTGCTAGAAAAAAAAAAAAAAAAAAAAAAAAAAAAAAAAAAAAAAAAAAAGACTAAATTAAAAAAGAAGCGCTGATATTCTTTTAAAAATATATTTGATTGAAAGAAAAGAGGAATGTTTATACTAGTAGCAGTGATATATTTCTTTATATATATTTCTCGAAAAAGATTTCTTTTTTCGTAGACTGGCAATATTTTGAAGGAAGAAAGCATTGTTGGGATAAGGATAATATATTTAGTAAGAAAAAATTAGATTGTTTTGAGAAAGCCATATTTTCTTAATGCCTTTATGTAACAATGATGTTTTTTTAAAAATATATTTCATATGTTTCTCTCAAAATGAATGTCATTTAACTGATTTTGCAGTTCATATGAACACTCTGAATTTCTATAACTTTAAAAAAAACACATGACATTTTGGCATTTAAAATTAAAGTCTACTGCATGTTTACAAATAAAGATATTTTAAGAATTATATCCTTCTTTGTGGCAATAAAATATCTATAAAGAAAGTTGTTTCATGTTCCTCTCACTTTTCATCAATATTTCTGTCCGGACAAGTTATGATGCCATAATTTCAACAGGCACAATGATAAGATCTTAGAGTCTCTAAATAGAAGTTCAGGCAAATAAAAATCCACAGAGGAAATGAATGAAAAAGTAACATTCCTTCTATTTTTAGCTTTAAAACTTACGAAAGAGTTGCATTCTTTCTAGATCTCTTCCGAGAATATTACTGGCCTCGCAAACGTACTCTCCAAAATCATTCCACGTTAGATTCTGAATTCGAAGAAGGAGAATAGTGGTGTAAATATCTTTTTCATAAATCTCTGACGTTATTCTGTGGAAGCTGTTGGCTGTGAAAACGTCTTCTCCCTTCCTCCAGTTTACTATAGCTTGAGGCGATGCTGATATTTCACACTGTAATATAGTTTCCTTCCCCAAATCTTGCTTTTGTTTCTTATTCAATACTTGCACTTCTGGTTGAACTGGAAAAAGAAATGATGATTCTAAAATTTAAAGTAATATTGATTTCAGTACATCTAAGAACGCTTTCCCTTGTTTTTGTAATAAAGCACTTCATTTCCTATCATAAATTGCATTAAGTATTTATTATAAATTATATTTTGTACTTTTCATAACTATCGCAAATTTAAATGTAAACACGTGTATACGTTTGACTCGTCATAGCAAGCATCGCACTGCCTTTAATTTGTGATACCGAAATATCCAGTTGTATACAATGTAGTTATATTTCACTTTCCTTGAAATTTCTTTTTTTTCAGAATAAAATATGGGTACCGTGATTATCAAAATTAGATCATAGACGAATCAACCTGTAACACCCTTAACCCTAGTCCTGACAAACTCTTAAGAAATGAGAGAGAATACTATAGTATAAAAAAATCGTGAATGTAAAAAATACATACAATGTACGTTGACAGAAAACACTTTAGAGACTGCTGGTCCTATTCCGTTATACGCTTCGCATTCATACGCCCCACTGCAGTAACGTGTGATGTTGTGTATCATTAAGAATGCACCTTGTTGACTTATTGCTGAAAAAAGTTAAAAATTATAATTTATCTGAGCATTTTATTGTAATACAAGTTTCAAGTTTCTTTATTTCTTTAAGCCAACTGGCTCATCAGAGAAGTTATGCATACATGGTAATAATAATAAAAAAAAAAACATACAGGGAGAGAGTGAGCATGAAGAACACATACATGAAAAAATACATCAATTTTATTTTTTCTTAACATTGTTGCAGCATTCAAATTTTGTCCAAATTTAAGAGATCTTTACTATTACTGGAACTTAACAGCTGAATTAATTATAAGACACATGGCTTAGTATAATAATACTTTTTCATATATTTCTTTCTTAGGTCAATATACAAAGGGCATTTCAAAATACAATGAAATTCGTCTTCTACATCATGGAGATTACAACATATACATAATCTATTAATCTTATGTATGTTATGGTGTCGATCTGTGTCAATATTCAACGTGTGATTTGATAACCTAAATTTTATCAATAGCAATATACATTCTTAAGACTTTTTTGAAACTCATTACTATTGAAAGCCAAGTTACCATCTCATTGGTAATGAGCCAGAGTTTCAATACATTTGCACTATGATTTATTACTGTATGATTTTTAAAAACATTTTGATGAACATTCTTATTCTATAAACGTGACTTTCTTCAGAAAGACGATAAACATAGGTAATCAGAGATTACAGAGCTCACCTCAACGAATGTTGTCTTTAAGTAAGGCAAAGTCACACAATTACCCAACAAAAAGTGTAAACCCAAAAAATGAAAATTTATGCAATTTTGACTAAATTTTTGGGAAACATACCTATATAAAAACTTCACACTAGTTCTTCATCACAAAAAATGTGATCAAAATCCAGCATCTGAAGCAAGTTTAAGAGTTTTTATCCTTTGATGCATCATTTGGGCAAGTTTGGTTTATTTAAGCCTTATAGTTTCTTGGTGATAGACCTGCACCCATAACTTTTACCTGGTCCATTATCTGGAAAATGTATGTCAAATTCAGCATCCGTAGCAAGTCCATTAGTATGTATTCAAAGATGTATCATCCATGCGAGTTTGCACAACATAGGGCTTATAGTTACTTAGAAATGAAACCTGCATAAAAATTTCACCTCTTCGCTCATCTAGAAAAAAAAATGTAGGTCAGATTCAGCATCTGAAGCCAGCCTGGTAGAATGCAACCTTAGATGTATCATCCATGCAAGTTTGGTCATTAAAGAGCTCATAGTTACTTGGAGATGAATCCTTCATCAAAAAATTTAACCTGTTCACTCATCCGGAATATGTACATCAGATTCAGCATCCGAAGCAAGTCTGGTAGTATGCATCCTAAGATGTATCATCCATGCAAGTTTGGTCAACATAGCACTTATAGTTCCTTGAAAATGAGACCTGCACCAAAAACATTAACCTGTTCACTCAACCGGAAAATGTAGGTCAGATTCAGCATCCGAAGCAAGTCTGGAGGTACATCCTTAGAGATTATCAGTGCAAGTTTGGTCAACATAGGACTTCTAGTTACTCGGAAATGAGACTTGCACCAAAAACATTAACCTGTTCACTCAACCGGAAAATGTAGTCAGATTCAGCATCCGAAGCAAGTCTGGTAGTGTATATCTTTAGATATACCATCCATGCAAGTTTGGTCAACATAGGTCATATAGTTCCTTGGAAATGAGACCTACACCAAAAACTGCACCAAAAATGTTAACCTGCTCCAAAAACATTAACCTGCTCATTCCTTTGCTGAAATTGCAGCATCTGAAACTTTGACTTGTACAATGAAACACATTAGATGCATCTTCCATGCATGTCTAATCAATGTAGGACATAGAAGTACTTAAGAAGAAAACTGCTCCAAAAAACTTAACCTTAACCTGGGACGCCGACGCCGACACCGATGGTATTACATAAGCTCCCCCAACTTCGTTGAGGTGAGCTAAAAAGGGTAGAGTAAAAACAATTTGCGCATCTTAAAGCATAACCCTAAAGCAAAGGGATTGGTGAAGAACACAAGAAAAAAAAAATATCAGTTTAATTTATTTTAATTTAATTCGTAAACTACTACTTTTCAAAACATATTCTCATCAATTATTCACCGTTTTGGGTTTTTGGGAAAAAGTGTATTGACAAGATGTTCGATAGAGTTATTCGCCTTGTTACACTGAACTTTGATTTATAATGTAAAGAGAGGGGGAGAGAGAGAGGTGTACCTTCTTTCTCTGAGATAGATTTTCTATACCACGTG